CATCAAGGCGGTCCCCGAAAGAGTTTCAGTTTTTGAAAGACTCAGTGCGGAGACGCCAAAACCCAGGCCTAGGCGTTTTCAACGAAGAAGAAGAATGATTGAAGACGGAGAATTTCCGAGGGTCACCACCAACATGACCAGCAAGGGGACATCGGCACCGACCTAGAACCCGTCTGCAGTCCGGAACCATAGAGCGAGCAACTTATGGTAGGATTCGGACAAGACGCCCTTCAGAAGATGAAGAATCTGATGCCGGCTCCGCGGTGGCATCAGATAATACAGTATCCAGCGAGGGACAACCCCGCGAGGCCCTGATGATAAGTGCGGAGCAGATGGCCAAGATGCTTGAAGACGCTTTGGCTAAGCAGAAAGAAAGTTTCAAATTTGAGATGGAGATGGCCATGCAGCAGATGAGAGAAATGCATGACCAACAGATCCAAGCATTGGCGAACCAACAAGGCGAGCAGAATCATCGTAACCCGATTAATGTGGAAGATGAGGATACAAATGCTCGTAACACCAATGATCCTCCCGTCAACGCAGGGGGTGGTAATGAGAATGCTGGCGAAAACACCGGCGAAAACCTGAAGATCAAGAACCTCGAGAGCAAAATCAACACATTGATCTCCGCTCAAGAGACGAAGAAAACAGGCATTCCTTGCCCATACCCAAGAGAATGGGAATCGATCCCATATCCGGCGAAGTTTAATCTAATTAACTTCACGCCGTTTAATGGGATGGGTTCACCCACTCAGCATTTGATTTACTTCAAATCGCACTTGGGAGTCATCTCTGGTAATGAGCCTCTGATGGTGCGGTCATTCGTTGGCACTCTTCGCGGAGCCGCCTTCGATTGGTATCGCCGCCTCAAGCCAGGAAGCATAAACAGCTGGGACGACATGGAGACTAAGTTCCTTACAAATTTCTTCGACGACGACACCGAGATCTCTATCGGATCGTTGCTCGACGAAAAGCAGAAAGACGGGGAGTTAGTCGACACCTTCGTCAAAAGGTTCAGGAACAAGGCGATGAATTGTCGGGACCCGATCACCGAGGAATTTATCCTCCAGACCTGCCACAACAACCTTTCACTGGATGTGTTGGAAGCAATGGGCACAGCACCATCCAAGACATGGAAGGATCTGAAAGTCCGAGGAGAGCAAGCTGAGCGATTCCTCAGGAGAAAGAAGGCGGAGAGAGGCCAACCGGCAACAAATCCTCCGAAACAGAACTTCAACCAAAAAGGAAAAGGTAAAGCTCATGCTAATGCCGTTGATGCTAACCAAACTTTTCAATTGCAACCTCAGCAACAACAGCAGCAACGAGCGCCACAACAATCCCAGCCGCATTGGCAGCAACGGCCTCAGAAACAAAAGTCTTCGGAGCCGAGGTTTCCCAAAGTCTACTCCTTCAAGGATGATGAAGTTCCCGGCATCTTCAAATACTTGTTGGAGAACAACAAAATCCAGCTGCCGGCGATCGTGGATCAAGAGGGAGCCAGCAAGGTGACGGATCCAAAGTACTGCGCGTACCACAGAGCGGTCTACCACCCTACGAGATCATGCTACCACCTCAAGGACAAGATCCAGGCGTTAATCGACGTAGGGGTCATAACCCCGAAACCAGCTAAGAATGTGGAGGCAAACGCAGTGTCAATCAGTTTTGGGTCGGTGCCTACAACTTGGTTCGAGCCAAAAAGCGTCACTAAAGTCGGGATGAAGACGGTGAATGACGACCCGCACGGACAGCGCCAAAAGGGACTTGTGCCACACACAGCCCCAAATGGCAAAATCCTTTGGGTTCACCCCGATCTGATTAGAGATGAACAATGGGCCGGGTCGTCATCCGGGAGGAAGTCTAAAGGGAAAGGGAAGTCTTGTTATGGAGTCTCTGCTATCCCAGGGGAAGATGACGAAAGAATCCCCACTTTCCCGCTCTCTGAAGAAGAACAAGAAGCTTTTGCGACACGGAGCGGAAACGAGTATCATTACAATTATCCGCCACCTATCGAGCAGGGGGTGAATAAACGGGGACCAGCCAAAACTCTCACGGAGATGGGAGTGATTACAAGTCCCACACCGGGTAAAGAAGCTCTACGACAACCGGTGAATAAACCAAAAGAGAAGAATCCCCAAGAGGTACAGAATCCGAAGCAGTCTCGTTTCAGTCGTCCAATTGGAAGAGACAAACCGGAAAGCTCGAAGACTCCGCATAGCTTCGACATTATGGCGCAATTAGCCAACATTCCTGCACGGATAACGCTCGGATAACGCTATATGAGTTGCTGCGGCTGTCTAAAGAAACTAGAGAAGCATTGCAAGAAGCCTTGGCCGATTCAGAAGCATTTCTCACTCGGATCAAACCGGTGCCTGAGGAATTAGAACTGTTAGCTCAACAGTGCAATGTGGCAGCTAAGAACATTCCCTGCATCACCTTCACCAAAGAAGACATGCAGACCAAGAATTCAAACCATGATCGGCCATTGTATTTTGTCGGGTACATTGGTTCCAGCGAGGTCAACCGAATCCAAGTAGATCCGGGTTCCGCTGTGAGCATTATGCCGCTTCGCCTAATGCATAGTCTTGGCATTCCAGTCAGCAAATTGGCGTCTACAGGCACAGTCATTTACGGATTCAATACCAGCGGGTCAAGGCCTTTGGGGAAGATCCGAATAAAATGCCAAATGGGCGATCTGAAGACGGAGGTCACGTGTTACGTGATAGATGCTGAGACATCCTATAATTTACTATTGGGTCGGCCTTGGATCCATAGTAACGTGATAATTCCATCTACTCTCCATCAGTGTTTGAAGTATGTCGACACTGACAATGAGGTGAGGACGGTGGTCGCGGATAAGCAACCATTCAAGGGGTATGAGAATTATTTCACCGATTCTCTCCTTTATGGTAACGAATCCGATACTGAACCATCGGCCCAGGGCACAGACAGCGGAGAAGAAGCTGATTCTGAAGCCGGATTCGATTACAATGGCGGTTTTGTTTTAAATGACATTGTACCCTTTGTAATCAATCTTGACGATGAACAATCGTCAGATGCAGATTGTAACTGGCAACTTGCCGATATTGAAATAAAAGATGATTTAGAGTACTCCTTGTCTCTTGATGATGTGGTAAGAGAACTGTATGATAATACCGACTTGTATATGCCGCTTCAATCATCCTATGTAACAAAGGAGCACCTCCAGCATTCTTTCGGAACAACCATGATCATCCCGAACAAGGTAGGAGGTGCAAAAGAAGTAATTTATGGTAAAGGAAAAAGCTCTCCGTTACCAGATCATTTCCTAAGTGAAGACGAAGATGATGACAAACCTGGTCGGCATTTATCTAAATATAGTCCGGAAGCGCGCAAGCTCATGGAAAAGCAGGGGTACGATTTCACACTCGGAGAAGGTTTATACTTCGATCGAGGTCCTCGTAATCCAGCCAAAGCAGTATATGTACCAAAAGGTAAACCTGAGGATTATTATAAATATGGGCGAGGCTTAGGTTATGTTTCATCAGATGACGAATGTGGTTGGCAAATTATCGATCAAATTGCTAACAAAGCCAAGAAGGGATACTCTCCCGATGCTTCAGAGTGGGACTCCGATACAAGTCTGGGAGAAGTCTTCAAAACCCTAATGTCAAATATGGCTACAGCCGATCCATCCACCATGGAAGACGACGATCAAATGCCAACATGGGAAGACCCGTGGGTTCACCATCTGAATATGCAATATGGCGATAGGTTCGAGCAAAGAGAACCACCCACTGAAGATAAAATAGTCCAGATTAACATGGGTGATGAGGCCAACCCAAAGCCTATATTCATCAGCGACAGTCTTCCCCCAGATGAGAAGGAGGAATTGATTGCTCTCATCAGGGAATATATCGACGTCTTCGCATGGAATTATGAAGACATGCCAGGGCTCGACCCCAATGTCGCAATGCACCGCCTCGATATCAAGCCGGATGCCAAACCTGTCAAGCAACAGCAAAGACGGTTTCGTCCGCAGATTATGGAAGCCATTGAGGCAGAGGTTAAGAAGTTGATCGAATCAGGATTTATCCGAGAGGAACAACATCCAGACTGGTTAGCCAACATCGTTCCCGTCATGAAGAAGAATGGCAAAATCAGGATTTGCATCGACTTCAGGAACCTGAATGAAGCATGTCCGAAAGACGATTTCCCTCTCCCAATCACGGATGTCATTATCGACAATACATGTGGATTTGAGAGGATGTCCTTCATGGATGGATTTTCGGGATATAACCAGATCAAGATGCATCCAGAGGATGAGAAGCATACGGCGTTCCTCCAACAACGTTGTTTGTCTACAAAACATAGGAATACACAAACACTAGACAAACAACATTAGTAATAAATTGTTTGTTAAACATCATCAAAACAAGAAGGCCAACACAATATACGATTCATGGAGTGCAAATCGGAACGTACACTGGTTCACCACACTCAATCCCGCTTCCTTCTGAATCCACCCTAATGGATAGGGCTTCGGATGCCTCACCGTCTTCAATCCCAGCTTTTGTACCAACGCTTCAGATATCAGGTTCTTCTGACTCCCTGTGTCTACAATGGCATCCACCAAGCTAGTCTTGACCTGCAACTTCAGAACAAAGAGTTGCTCTCTCGGGTCGTTGTCTTCTTTTGTGGCCTGTTTCCCTCCCCGTCATAAGGTTGAGGCTGTTGTTGGGCTCTGTCATCCCGGGAACCTCTTTCGGACCATGTGCTATCACGTACGCCTTTTTCTCCTCCTTCTTCTTCAACCCTTTCGGCTTCAGATGAGGGTACTTATCCCAGCAACGATCAGCCACGTGCCCTGTCTGCTTGCAGTGATTGCATGTCAATCCTGCCTTCCCTGAATCACCCTTCTTCTTCTCTTCCTTATGTTGAGAGCTACTCGACTTGTTTCCCGATTGTTTGGAGTCACCCTTCGTTTCGTTGCCCTTCTTCTGTTTGCCCTCAATGGCAATTGCCTTCACGCTCGCTTCTGCAATCATCTCGACCGTGAACAGCTTCATCTCCTTACGGATGTAATCATTCAGTCCCGCCATGTACTGCATGAAGATGGAGTATTCGTCCGTTGCGATGTTTAGAACCATCACCTGCTGCTGGAACTCCGTCGTGTACTCTTGAACGGTCTGATTGAATCTTTGGCGCAAGCCGTACCACTTGTACCAACGCTCCTCAAGGAACCCCACCGGATAGAACTGTTTCCTGAGTAGCTCCTTGAATTTGTTCCACGACGCTGCCTTCTTCTCCTGTTTGCAATAGGATTTCCACCACGTCAACGCGTGTCCTGAAAGCTTCAATGTCGCGAACACAATCTTCTCCTTGGATGAATATCCATAGAGGGTGAAGTACATCTCCATACGCTCAATCCAATCATCGAGCTTTTCTACATTGACACTCCCATCATAGACATGAATCTCCACCTTGAAATCTATCTTTAAATTTTGGTAATTATTTTTACCCCCTTGATGTCCAGCAGCCCTAAAAACCTCGGTTCACCCGTCCGAATCAGACTTCTCGCTCTCTTCATCGGACTCGATGATTTTCTTCTTACCCTTCGAAGAAGATTCCTCTCTTTTGTCCCCTTTGTTAATGAGACCCACGAGCTGACTGAGCGTCGAACCGATCGTTTCGATCTGCTTCTCCATGGCATCAAGTCTTGTTGAGTTATCTATTTCATACATTTTCTCCTTCCTTAACTCTTGGGCTCCTTCCAAGGAAGTAAGGATCTCGCCAAGCTCCTTGTATTGCGAACGAGTCAGGACCATGCACAGGATGCCCCCTTCGTAGGATTTGATGGCTCTGATACCAACTTGATACGAGTTGCCGTGCGAGCACCTTTGATCGCGGAATTATCAAAGGTGGGTTGAGGAGAAAATAATAAGAATACAAGAATAACTCAGATTTTGGGCGAAGGAAAATACCTCCTCTAGATTATGAGTATGTAATTTACAATCTCTCACAATCTCACTCTAGAATTGAAGAACAAGCTCTCCAAATCTCAATTACAAGTTAATCTCTCTTGATTTAACTCTCTGATTGTTTAGAAACCCTAAAACAATCCCTTATATAGGTGTACAAACGTGGATGGCAATTTGGTAAATAACCAGACCCAAAACCAACAGGAATTCGTGTGAACAGAATCCCAAACGAACCAGGAAACCCTCGATGAGTCGACTCATGACTGAGATGAGTCGACTCGACAGAAACTGGAGAAATCTCAATAACCAGCGATGAGTCGACTCATGACAGTCATGAGTCGACTCAACCTGATGAGTCGACTCATAACAGTCATGAGTCGACTCACAGGCTGAAAACTGGGTACTTCGATTCTTCTGCTCGTCGTCTTGTTCCACGCTTCCTCCTGTGTTCCCTTATACTGTTTGACACCCCCTATTCTCATGCTAGTATGAGAATCATCTATCCTCAAGCTCCCATGAGGATCGCTAAGTTCCGAGAGTCGACTCAACCTGATGAGTTGACTCATAACAGTCATGAGTCGACTCACAGGCTGAAAACTGGGTACTTCGATTCTTCTGCTCGTCGTCTTGTTCCACGCTTCCTCCTGTGTTCCCTTATACTGTTTGACACCCCCTATTCCCATGCTAGTATGAGAATCATCTATCCTCAAGCTCCCATGAGGATCGCTAAGTTCCGAAGAGAAGATACACCCGTATCATATACTCACCTATGTTTTATGATAGGGGGAGCCTTCGCTCTCTTACTGTTTTGTTTCCCCATTTTTGATGTTGCCAAAGGGGGAGAAACAAGTGGATTGTGAGTATATTTTAAGAGTATTATGTTTTATTGTATATCTTATATACTCTTTGTGTAGATTGTTTGTCATCATCAAAAAGGGGGTGATTGTTAGGTCTCATGTTATGAGCCTACATCTTCTAATCTTGTTTTGATGATTACAAATAATTCCTAATATTGTTTGTCCAGTGTTCATGTTTCTTATTAGGTATTGTAGACAAACAACGTAGTTGGAGGATGGATGGAATAGAGCTTCAACGATCATATCTAAAAAAGGTTAGCGGAATATCGGTGAAGCCTTACAATTCAAGTTAATGATCAAGTTCAAGCTTCATCCGCACCGTGTACCAAGTTAAGCTACAACGAAGATCAAGATCAAGCTTGGGTAATCTAGTTTAGATTTATATTATGTGTGTTAGATACTCTAAGCTCAATATAATATACACACACATTTTATTGGTTTCTTCGTATATATATAGTTATATATATACATAAGTTTTGGTTTCTATGCATATATATAGTTATATATATACATACTTTTGAGTTTTTATGTTTATAATATGAAATCACATATTTCATATTTACTATTGTGGTTTTGAAAACATTGCATAGAATATGCAATTTTGTGAAAATATTATATTCTTAGTTTGTAGACTTGAATATCAGTTTATACATGTTTTACTAAGTCTATAAAAACATTTCACAAAGTTTCAAAAGTTGGTTTATGTCAAAACATCAAAATTCAAGTATCTCATATTTTTATTTTTTGGACTATTTTGTAAAATGATGATATTTTTCATTTGGGAGGTCATTTCTGATAACCAGTCACTGTAGCATGTTTATTATCATGTCTACAATCATTCCCCAAAGTTTTACATTTTTTGGAATTTATTTGATATTTTTAAACAGGGTTTTAAAATCAGCAAATCAGGTTTTATATATATCAATTTTCGGTCGACCGCTCATATGTTCAACCGTCAGTGGGCAGCAGAAAGTCTGTCGGTCGACCGGCCCGATCGACCGAAAGCTCCATCGGTCGACCGCACCGGTCGACCGACGATGGTCCAGAACTGTTTCTTCGTGTTTTTGCTCTCCGTCGGTCGACCGACGAAATTTCCGATCGACCGACAATAGATCCGTTGCTTTTTTCAACGGCTATTTTATCTTTTTATTAAGCTAGTGTTCATATTGAGTTTAGTTGATTTTATTATCTCTTTGTTCACACACAACCTATTGAGCTTATTGTATTTACATTCATAGTATAATTTAGGGTTGTGGGTTTGTGACATTGAGAGTGAGCTTAATTGAGTTCTCACCTTGTTTAGAGAACAAATCATTTGATTTATATTGTGCTTATTGTGAGGATTCACTTGTAATACACTTGTACACCGAGAGAAGTGTGTGGTGAGAGACGGGGTCGAATCCAAGAGGAGTGGCGTCGGTTGACGTGCCTAGGGAGAGGTTGTAACCGAGCACTTGAGGAGGAGGACACGGGCTAGGACCAACACTTAGTGTGTGAGGTGTGATTACATAGTGATTGTATTGTGAGGTGTAAACGTTGTTCGGGTGAACGTAGAAAACCCGGTTGTGATAGTGAAGATCTCCTCGAGGTGAGGAGCGGAGACGTAGGTCGTGGGGACCGAACTCCATAATCATATTGTTTGTTTGTGATTGCATTGACGCACTTACTTTCATGTTCATATCTTATATCGCCTTTGTATATTGCTTGTTGATTATATTGCCCACTATCTAGTTTAGATTATTTACCCTTGAGTTTATATATCCTTGCACATACATTGACTATATCTCTTTGTTAGGATATATCTTGTTCATTTTGCTTATCATAGCTCATATACATTGTCGTATTTAATACGTGCTAGGATAACTTGTTAATAAGTTTTAATTAGCATAAAATCAGATTAGATTAGCATAAGACCCTAATCACCCCTCCCCCCCTCTCTAGGGTCTAACACCATAGTAGTAGTTTCTCCTTTCTAAGTAGCTTTTCTAGCTTTAGTTGAAATATGTCAATAGAAAGCAGCCCGCTGGCTGCTTTCAAGGCTTTCTCGACTCAAATGATAAAAGATGAGACTGATCAAGTCTCGGACC